AAATCAGAAATATATAACATTTTATACAATGCAAAATTACATTTTTACTAAGACATACAAGTGGTAGGAGTTTTAGCTTTTTAACTGTGAAACACTGTTCTACTTAAAAGCATATCGTATTAAAAAATCCAGTGTCATAGAAAAACTATTAGAAACATTGCAAAATTTAGTTCTAAGAATTTACTTTTTTTTTTCTTTTTCTGATATACATGCTAACTTTAAACAATGACTGGCAGTAGAGCAGAGACTACAAGTTGTTTACCAAAAAATAAATTCTGTTCCTTTCAATAGTAGAACTACTATGTATATCCATGTCCAACTATACTATATGTGTCCCTTGAGGTTATATGTAGCCATTTAAATGAATTATTTCAATGGTATGCATACAAAAGTGATGTGTCTTACTTCCAATCTGGGCTCTCAAGATCAATATTACCTTCCTGTGAAATTAAGCAATTTAATATATTGTTAATATAAGTATTGTTATATTATTATAGTTATATTATTATATATAACATATTATATATAGTTAATGTAAGTATTAATATATATACTTCAGACTTAGAAAAATAAAATACTATCTTGTCTTAACCATTGTTGTTTTGGCCTCTTTGTCATAGCCACTAGCATTTCTGAATACTAATATAGCAAAGCAAGTGTCTCATCCTAGTCTCAGTGAAGTTTCAAACTGGCTCAGGTAAAGATATGACATCATTCCTTAAAATATCACATGCTCATTCTCCACTGACTCTACAGCATCCCAAGTAGACTTAAAAACTAAAACTATCCCTCAGATAACAAATTACATTATGTAAATAAATTATAACCAAAATAAGAAATAAAGAACCACTATATTGCAAGCAATCAGGAAAAGTAATCAGGACTTTTCCAGCTACAAGGGGTCAGGATTCCAACTTCAATCAGTTTAAGCAACAAATAAACAAACTCACTTTTTTTTCTCTCTGTTTTTTCTCTTTTCTTTCTACATTAGACAATGTTGATTTTCCAGCTAAATCCAATTCTAACCTCATTCTTTATTGCTGACTGAGTTGTTCAAGTGTTCACACTTTCATAGTAAAATCATCAAAAAGCAAAGAAAACTCTATCACCTAAAAATGAAGCAAGGTAATTACATTACCCTAACCATGATTGGTTTAGAGCTTGTAAGAAGAAATTCTGGCAAATGAGACATGAAATGTAAAAGTCTTCTGAGTGGTGGGACTTCTTTGGATATTATTTTTCTTTTAAAAAGAGACAGATGACCTGTAGATATCACAAAATGATAGTTTATTATGAACAAAAAATTCCAAGATATTCAAAAGTTTACCAAAAGTGGACAAATCTTTAAACAATTACACGTGAACAAAACTATTTCAAAACATCCAAAACCTAAATTTCCTATACCATTAACATTAATCTATATTTGATTTAAATAATAATAACAATCAATTAATTAAATAATTGTATTAAAATTTGAAAATCTTCTTGGAAAGAAAGCAGTAGGCTTGAATGTTTTTGCTGGAGATTTTTATTAAAATCTCAAAAACAATTTAAATATATATAAATCATTTAAGAGAACTGAAAAAGAGGATATGCACCTTCTATACCACAACCTGACAAGGACAAAACCAAAAAGAAAAGTTATAGTTTTATCTCACCTATGAACACATGTAAGAAAATACTCAGCAGTTTTTCTAAATTTACTAATATTTCTAATTTTATAAGCATTAATAAATTTGCTGAATTACATAAAAAGGATAATATATCATGTCTAAGTTGGATTTATACCAATAAAGAAAAGTTGTCTTAACATTAGTAAATCTGTATTTGTATTTTGCCATCTTATTTTAAAAATCATATGGAATTCTCAATACAGACAGACAAAACATTGTAGCACTCATTATGAAAATGTAAGCAGACTCTAACGGAGAAATTCCTTAGACTTAGAAGATCTAAAGAGCTTTACAAAAATATATTTAATTTTGAAAGTTTTCCCTTTGAGATTGGGAGCAAGATTGGGAACAAGAAAATATGGGATTTCAATGAACACTGTGCTGGAATCTGCCATCGGTGTAGTAAGGCAAGAGGAGAAAATAAAATTTACACAAATTTTAAGAAAAATAATAAGACTATATTTTAATGAAATATCCAGTAAGGAATCATTAAATTATTTGAAATAGCAAGAATTTATCTATGCTGTAGAATATGTACTAAACCAATGAAAATCATTTTGAATGTTATTAATAAAATATGAAATTCTCAGTAATAAATTCACAAATTATGTGCAAGATTTAATAAAAATGATTGATGAATTTTAAAGAATTAAATAAATCCAGATATAGAGTACTACGTGGATTGGAAAAATCAAAACTTCAGAGATATGAATCTTCTCCTGATTTGTAGACTAATTTAATATAATCATAAACCAAACTTTTATTAGGGTGTATGTGTGGAATTTGACCAGTTAATTCAAATATTTTTGTGGAAATCAAAGGTCAAGATCTTTTAAAATAATCATAGGATTGAAGCAAATACTCTGTGAGATATTTAGGCTTGTTACAAAACCACAATAATTAGGACAGTTTGGTAGTGACGCTAAGGAAGGGGATGGAACAACGAAACAGAATGGAGAGCTTGAACCCAGACACATGCATTATAGATATTTTGCTTATGAAAAACAAGTAATGTAGATTTGTCAGAAAAGAATTGTATGGAAATATCAGACTCTCAAGAAATATGATAATTAGGTATCTACATGAAAAAAATTAAACGGGACCAAACCAATCACACTAGACAAAAATAACACCAGATAGATTATAGATGTATATGTCAAAAAATAAAAAATAAAAGCAAATGCAAACAAACAAAAAACTCTGCAAAGGCTTAAGAGAATAACATGGTAAAACAGGATAGTATCTTTATAATCTTGGGAGAAAAAATTAAACAAAACATCAAAAGTACTTTAAAGTGAATAAGTTTGCTTTTTTCTTTAAAGTGTTCATCAAAAACGATGAAGAAAGTAAAAGGATGTCACAGCACAGAAAAAGATAACTGCAACACATAACACTGACAAAGGATTTAAAAGCGGAATATGAAAGGAACTCCAAAAAAAAATCAATTAAAACATCACAGCAAACCATGTTTTTAAATGGTCAAAAGACTTGAAGAGAAACTACAAAAAGAGAAAATTTAAATGCTCTATAAATCCAAAAGCTGTTTAAGGTTATTAGTAAGCAAAGAATTCCAAATTAAAATCAAAACACCACTAAACAGCCACTAGTTTGCAACAATCATAAAGCCTGAAAACATCAGCTGATTCTTACTGTATGGAGCACCTAGAATCATTAAAACTGCAGTTGAAAGCATATATTGCTGTAATAACTTTTGAATGCATACATTCGACTCAATGCTTTCGCTTCCTATACACAATAATGTTTGTGAATGTATTCTAGAAAAAAATGTAGCAATGATCATAGCAGCACTATTATACCTGCCACCAAACAACCAAATACTCAGTCAAATGGATTAATAAATTGTGGTGTAAGCATATAATGGAATACTATGCAGCATAAAGGGGAAAAGTAAAAGCTATATCCAACAACATAGGTGAATTTTATACAAACATGTTATTCACTGAAAATAACACCATAGGATAGTGCATGCCACAAAATTTGGTTATATAAAGTTCAAAACAGGACAAAACTAAACTATATTAGTTGAGGTTACATACACAGATTTCAAGATTCTAAAGCAAGAAAATTCTTCCCACTTTCTGGGGCAATTTCAAAAATCAGAAACCAGATAAACGCAGGTAACTGTCTTGCTTTTAGAAAATAAAAAGCCAGGGCATTGCTGCCTCCATGATTCTAGCTACTTAATGTACCTAATATTATCTATGGGGGCATTATCTATGATAATTAATTTATTTATAGTTTGTGGCATAATTTTTACCATGTGCTGTAATAAAAAATTCTATTATTTTCTGAAACAAATACCAAGACATTCATGAGTGCATGCTATATTTTTCTACCCACATACAAATTACCACAAAGCTTCCTACAGGCATTATTCTCAAGCAAATCAGAATGATAATTGGTATTTGAAATGAACTAAATGACTAGATACTTCACAGATACAGTCATTATAATCTCAAATCCTTTTAAAGATTTCTATCAATGATTTAAATTTGATGGTTTTGCTAATACTGAAATGAAAAGATTCACTATGACTTTTCAAAGAAATATCAGATGGTGCAATACAGAAAAGAACAGCAACAACAAACGAATCATTGGTAACCTCAAGGAGATCTGAGTTGCTGGATAACATAACATTTAAATTTTAAAACCATTTTTTTAAATTAAAAGTCTACACAAAGATCATGGCTACCTGGAATTCAAGAAAGAGTTCTGTTGGTCAAACATCTTAATTTAAGCATCACTTAAGCATAGTATTTACTAGAACACTTACAGCATTATTACATTCTTTACTTCTGCACCCTCCATATTAACTACCCAAATGGTTCGTTAGAGTAATAAAATCTGTGGACTGTCACTGTTAAGATGGAAACTTTGTGACTGTTAAGCTGCTATCACAGGTAACATATTTTCTTCTGTGAGGGCAATAGGATTGATTATATTAAAACAGGCCTTGATTTCTTCTTTCTGCCCTTTCCATAAATCTTTAGAACTATAAGCATGTAGGCAGACACAAAAGCAAAGCAAGGTGGGTGTTGTTTACTGTCGTAATACAACTGATTTCTCTTGTGTCTCTAACTCTCATCCCCCAAAAACCAACGCATACAGCTTAGGCTTGGAATTTTCATATTTCAAATTCAAATTCAAATCTTTCCTTTCCTTATACCCACATTTGTCAGTTACAGTCTGCAAGGCTAACTTTGTGCCTATTTCACCACTGGGAACTTTATATTCAGTGACATATGGACTGGATGTTGATTTTGAATCTCAAAAAAAATTGCTATTTAAAAATAAAAGAAACATTACCTTGGAAATAACCTTGTAAAGGCACTTCAAATCTTTCTTCTAGCTGAAAAAAAAAAAAAAAAATCCCGTAAAAAGCCAAAAACAGAATATAATATTCTTTTCTTGTCTGGTTTCAGTCAGACTTTAGAAAAAGTAAACAGAGAAAGAAAAATTGCTAAAAGTGAAGCCTTTTTTGTCAGCTAAGAAAATACAAAGTCTCCAGAGGTTTCTCTTTTCTCTTTCCTTGGTTTCTTCTGTCAAATTTTATAATAAAATCAGCCACAAATGTGAAAAAGAACATATATTTTGTTTCGTCTAAAGAAATACCTAAACTTTATATGGTGCTTTGAGAATTACTTAGCCCATATAATTTCTTTGATATTAAGAAAAATATACTAAAGTCCTGTTATGAGATGAGATGGTTTCTAATAGCACACACAGAATTTGAGTTAATTTGATTTAAGATTTTGTTCAAGGGAGCATAGCAACCAAAAGGATTCCACCAATCACCAGGAATGAAAGCTTTGATCCCAAGAACAAAAGAATAGAGAAGCTGTTTTGCACTATTTTCTTTTCTGTTATTCAATAAAATTACATTTTCTATTTGTACTCCTTCATTTGCCTATATTTTCCCATAGCGTCTCCATTTAAAAAAACAAAACAAAACAAACACTTTTCACTTTCTTGCCTCTTTACTTCACATATGAAACATTTTAAAAATTCTTAAAAAATATAGATTAGGGTTAAGAAAGAGTTCATGTATTTTTCACTTTTCTACTTTTCTATAAGAAAACTAAAATACATTTTTGAAAGCACTACTTCAGTATAAAATTGATTTTTCTTTTCTTATATAATACATAGTTTGTTCATAAACTCCATAATATGAGAGCTCATTCTAAAACTGACCTTCAATTTTAGCATTCTGTTGGTAATCTTCTGCTTGCAAAAATGAACATTTTCCTTTTCAATTGTATGTATTTTAATATACTCTGTAGCCACATTTTTTCCTCTGGAGCTTAACAGTACAATCAGGCTTGTCATGAAGAGTGCCATTAGCCTGAGAATGGCAGAAAGGACACGTGACACAAAACTGGACACTCCAGTGCATTTCACCTGTGGGTAAAATAGTTGCTGAATAGTTTTTGAGTAAATAATAGTATATACATTCTTTAGTGAAAGGCTGTTTTACACTGACTGTATTATCATTCACTTGTAAGTATTCCCCTCCTGGAAACTTAATTATTTCTTTTGCTATATCTTCAACTGCAATAAATAGTCTATCGATACTCAATTTCCTTAAGGATATACTACAATTAAGGCACAAACACTAAACTAACAGGAACAGATCACACCCCAAAGAAAAACATGAAAAACAGATTTTGGAACCATACAGTGCATTTCACATGTTTTGACAAACCATTCTGTATATTTTCAAAAGAAATATTTTATTCATTTAAGACATTTAATCATGGATATATGAAAGAGAAATGGATATTTATTATATGGAAAGGATGTATGTAAAAGAAAGATTTATTGATGTAGCAAGAAAATAATTTCTTTCCCTAAAATTATAGAGCATAATGCATAATTTTATATCTATTCTCAATAGCTGAAGTTAGGTGCTCGAAATATTTTCAGAATTATTAAATAAAGATGTGCCTTACAACATTACTATGCATGGACAGTACAGTGACTGCAATAAAATTATACTACTAAGCTATTAACCTTGAGGAATCTGTCATGAACTTGCACCCCACAAAGGAAGAATCTGAGCGCTCACTTATCATAGATGACTTTAAGGAGAGGAACCTGAGCGCTCACCTATCATAGATGACTTTAAGACTTCTTAAGGGCGGGGTGCGGTAGCTCATGCCTGTAATCCCAGCACTTTGGGAGGCCGAAGCGGGCGGATCACAAGGTCAGGAGATTGAGATCATCCTGGCTAATACCGCAAAACCCTGTCTCTGTTAAAAATACAAAAAAAGTAGCTGGGCGTGGTGGTGGGCGCCTGTAGTCCCAGTTACTTGGGAAGCTGAGGCAGGAGAATGACGTGAACCCGGGAGGCGGAGCTTGCAGTGAGCCGAGATCGCGCCACTGCACTCCAGCCTGGGAGACAGAGCAAGACACCCTCCCAAAAAAAAAATAAAATAAAAAAAATAAAAATTCATTAAGCCACCTTCTGTGAGTTCTTAGAGCAATTCCTCAGGATTCTATTAGGGGAATAAAGCCAGAATTCAATTAAAATTCATGACTTTATGCTATTTAATACCACACACAAAGAAATTTTAGAGTTTTGTGAATACACTCTGTGAATACAAAGGCAGAACATAAAATTGATATTTGAATTATGACAGATATACACATATACCCACCATGCACATGCATATATACATATGTGTGTATCATGTTTATAATGCTAATAAATGTTTTATAGTATTGGGAAAGTAAAATTTAAAAGATAGCCACATGTGTATATCATTGTAAATATGTCTTCCAAATGACCATATGAAAACTCAGCATAAAGAGAAAACCAAATGGTTCATTTGAATATCAACATCAACACATTTCTGAAGAAAATCAAAATAAAGCATTAAATACATATTACATTTTTTAAAAAATTTTAAAGGTTCAAGATGGCATCAGCATCTGGATCGCATTACTCGGAAAACTCGGTACTATTCAGAAAATACTAAGAGTCCAGGGTTCTAATTGCCATTTACCATTATTTCACTTTGTCACTTAAATCAATTACCCTATCTAAATCTTAGGTACCTCCTTTTTAAAATTACAAAATGGATTAGATGATTTCTATAGATGCCTCTAGCTTTAATAGTCTATGATTCTGATTACATTCTGGCTTGAGACCAAAAAACGTTAGAGCAAGATAAGAGGCTACCACTTAATAACGTTATGACCTTTATTAATATTTCCACAAAGCTAAGAGTAGCAAAAAGCTTGAATGCAGCAGAATGACTAGCTTACACTTACCCGAGAGCTGCATGTTTCATTTCCTCATTTTATTGAGGCCTCTGCTGAAATACATCTTTATCAAAAAGCCCTTTCCTGAACACCCCATCTAACCACCACCCATCATTCTCTACACATTACCAGATTTTATTTTTCTTTCTAGCACTCTTTGCCAAAAGATATTTTACATTTTAAAATTTTTGGATGTTTATAATCCCCACTGATATAAACTCCATGACAGCTGTTTTGTTTTGCTTTGTTTTGTTTTAAATTCACAGTGGTGCTTCCAACAGACTGGTGCCCAGCATATAGAAGGTGCTCAGTGAAGTTTGTTGATTGAATGACTGATGCTTTCAACAATGAGTAAATGCATATGACTTGATCACAGATGCATGTTAACACTGTGTAGCAGAAAATGAGGCTGAAAAAATAAGCGGGAACATGGTTAAAAGTAAGTTGGAAAGGTTGTCTTAACATTCCACGCAGGGTTGTCCAATAGAGCCTTTAATGATGAGAGAAATATTCTAGAACAGTGCTGTTCAATTCAGTAATCTCTAGCCACATGTGACTTTTGAGTATTTGAAACTAGGCTACTGTGATGGAGGAACTCATTTTCTTTTATTTACTTTTAATTAAGTTTATATTTAAATTTAAATAGTTGCATAAGGCTAGTGGCCGCTGAATTGAACTGTGCAGTTCCTAAGGAATTTGAAACTACTCCAAAAGCAATGGGAAGACACGGGAGGTTCTGTAGTAGAAAAAAGTGTGATAAGACTATATTTTTGAAAAATGATACTTTTGAAAGTAATATTTAGAATGAATTGGAATTGAGAGAAATTGTAAAGCAAAATGGCTAAATAGAAACTTGCAAAAATTTGATGTAAGGAACTGAGGATCGGAATTAGGGCAGTGATAGAATGAATGGAAGGGATGGAAGTGATAGGGAAACATCACAGTGGCAAAATCAATAGAATTTTTTTTTGTTTATTTGTTTGTTTTTTACTATGATCCTATATTTGCTGCTACAGAAGATTAGATAGATAACAATTCCACCTACAAAAAAGAACTCAGGTAGTAGAGCAAAACCATACTAAGTGTAATGTCAAGAGAAATTCACTGACTCAAAATTCAGCTCATTTTAAATCATTTTAAAATCCAGACACATAAATTACAATTACAAGTCAAAAAAAATAGAAGCATTAAGTTAAGAAAAAGAAAAAGTTTTCTTTGCATTCCAAGTTGGTTGAAAATCAAGTGTAAGTAATGTTTGTAACCAATTCAAAATTGACATTGAAATGAGGATTGCTTCTAAGGTCAAACATCATATATACACACACACACACACACACACACGTATATGTATATATATACACATATATACACATATACACACATACATATATACATATGTGTTATGTATATGTGTGTGTATATATATATTGGGTGATGTTTGTGTATGGGTGTGTGTATATAAATATTAGGTATGTATGCGTATAAATACAAACAATTTGAAAAACAATTGAAGATGTTTTCAAATAAGTCTACCCTATTTCTTATTCTTATAGAAAGCCACCTGGGACAAGCAGGCACATGCTCCTCTTTTAATGAAGGGAATAAATTTTTATTTTAAATTTACTTTTAAACAGTGAAATCCTTTCTATCACAACACAAGGAAGACTTCTCCCATATTGGCAACTGTTTTTATATGGTTGGCAGGTTTCAATGAGTCTGAACATGAATAAAATCCAACTACATCACTGGATGAAAAGCTCATGGACTTCCGCTTTTAAAGATGAAATAGAAAATAACTGTCAGATACTAGAAAGCCAAAGGGTGATTTATAATTTAATCAACAAAGAAGCCTTGACCCTTATTTGCACTATTAAAATCTTAATATAACAAAGCCATGTAGTGGGACTGTTAGGATTTAAAAGCAAATAAAATTCCTTGGCAGACTAAGGATTTTTGCCATCTGTATCTTAAAGCAGGAGGAAGCATATTCTGTGTTCAGGCTCTGTAATAAGCATATTAAAGTCAAAGGTGCAGCTAAATATCCCAAGCAAAGTAAAAATGAAAAGAAATGCCTGCAGGGCTCGTGTTCTGAACAAAAAAACTGTCTATATTTTGAGAAATTCCACTCTCTATGAACTTCCGCTAATGATTACAACAGCAGGAGATGGAGCCAAGGAGACTCCAAGTAAATTGAAAAGCACGATTTTAAGAGAAGCCCCCAATACCTAGTAGAATGGTAAAGATTTACTCTGACTTCAACCTATACCAACTAGTAGGACATATATTTGTACAATAAATGTATGTCCTGAAAGCATGATAGGGCATAACTCAGTGGAGAAACTGACACATAAAAGCTACCCTCTCTGTTGCTCTACTAAAAAAGATGTGATTATAATTAAAAACAAAAGAAATTGTTTTAAAGAAGTGTATTTATACTAGGATTTCAAATCTAGGAACTCCTGAAATTTTTCTAAATGAGAAATAATACCAAGAAGAAACCGTAGGTAGAAACATGTGTAAAAGATGGCTTACTACGTGGTGATTAACATTAGTCTGACATGTTAGATGTTATTTCGAATACCAAAATTTTCACTACAGTCTATTATTATACAGATACTATAATTTTAAAGAATTAATTACATGATAAATTGACGGTGGTCCTATGCTAGAAGGCAAAAGGGATTAGAAAATTCACACAACTGCACAACTGTGAGCATTTTTATCCAAAAGTGCTATATTAGCCTAGACACTGCATTTTGAAATATAGGTTTTCTTAAAAATCTTACCTGCTCATTATAATATTTCATATCTTTTTGCAAATAGGGTCAAAAGATCAGTATGCTCACTTTTTCTTCTTCCCTAGCCCATCTATAACCTCAGAGATAACTATGTATCTTCATCATTAGTCTGGAGCTAGTAGATGAGTTTGGAATCACTGAATCTGCTCTTAAAAGGTAACTTCTGAGACAGAAGGTTATAAATTGCCCATTACAAATATATAAATCTGATTTTAATTTTAAAGCACTGGCATTTATATATTCTAAAACTGTATAAGCTTCACTAGAATTTTTTTTTTTTTTTAAAAAAGCAACCATAGTCAAATGGTATTGTAGACAAATAGTAAATAAACTTCT